TCGTAATCAGCAGGTCAACATACTCCAGTATACCGCTTTGCATGAGCTTAGAGAGAGTGCAAAAAAAAAAAACCAATTAGTCGATAAAAGCATATAATATTTCGCACTGTACTTGGTCCAGATCGGTTCAGAAACGAAAATTTGTATTCGCAACATATGAAACCACTGCACACATTGCATTATATGTACATTTATTTATTTATTTATTTATCCATTTAAGTATGTACTAGATTTAAGGCAGTAAGAAAACTCACCTCATCAATAAGAAGCCAATATCCTTCTTGTGCAGCCTCTAGAACAGCTCCCCGACTCAGAGTAAAGGGAGCGGCGTTTCGCTCTAAACCAGTTTGGATACGCCTTCCACGTACTATTACAGAAGCCCATCGAGAATCCTGAACTAAAGATATGGTAGACATAGACAAATTGATTTTAAAAAAAAGAGAACCTTCCTCAGAGATTTCGTCGCCAGAGCCTTCTCAGCAGTAGCGATTACCACAGATAGATAATCTCTGTATCGACCGTGTGTGAGACATGCCTGAACAATATTCGAAAATACTTAAATACGCAACCATAAAGCTCTGTTGCAAATCTTAAGCTGGTGGAAATTTTGCTCAAGAAGAAACTTTTGAAGAAGAAAAGGTAGTGATTCGTTTGAAAAGGTGAAAAAAAAGACGATCTTGTATGCCTATTTGCAGGTCAGGTCCCCTCCGAATGCAGGGACAGAAGATTGCGAAGGACGTTGGCAAATACATAGTAAAGCTAAGTGCATTATAACAATATAATTATGAAAATAAATTATGCATAATTAAATTTTGCAGGATAACTGCGCTGAAAATGATTTTGACTTTTAGGCCCCTTGAGGATGCTGTTGTAGCTGTCGTCAGCCGCAAGGCTATAAACTTGAAAGAGTAGATTTCCTCTACATAGTCCTTCAATTTGTCCAAAATACCTAGTTAAGTTAGCCTCCGCCAATTTGTCGCGTTGCTCATCAGAAACTTCATCTATAGGCAACCACTGCGAAGACAGATTGATTTGTGAGGGTATTAGCAATATTGAGGCAACCTCCTCAATAATACTGCAGAACTTCAGAGTGATTCGATTTGATTTGGAAGAGATTCAGGCTTCCAACTGTACCACATCTCTTGCATGAAACCACTTGTAACTTCTTCTTTTTTTGGAAAGGAAGCGCAACATCAGTGGCACAATCAGAATCCTCATATCTTCCGCTTCCACAATATAGCT